AATTCGCATGTACACACATTTACTTTTATAAAACCTTTTACACACTTCATAAAGTTTGCCGCATAGTCTTCCTCAATCTCACCTTTCTTAGGTTTTATCGAGCAATCCCAAAGCATACCATGCTTACATTGACCAAATTATATATAACTTTGATACATATAAAATCTAACATGTTAAACCGATGGCACCATCAACGTAAATGATGATAACAACTAAAAAAGAAAATAATCTATCCAACATAAGCACAGTACTTATTTAATCACCTACCCAGATGTTGCACCTCAAGAACAACAAATGTACTCTCCAGATATGGACACCTTTGTGTACTTCTAGCATTTTTCATCAAATAATACCAAATAGCCCCTTCTGGACACCAATTATTCTTGTCCCACATATAATAAACCAACATTCGAAAAAGAATTGAAGCCAAAGAAATATAAATATATAATTAGACTAAAATTCGCACGGCATTAATACCTTTTGGAGCTCAGAGAATGTTTGGGCGATTCATTTAAGAAAATGGGGCTTGGAATGTGCCCCATTGGGCAAATCCGCAGAACTCAACAAATTTTATGGACATGTACTGCATGAATTCACTGAAAGAGAAGATGGGTCATGAACATGGAGCTTGCAGGAGAGAAACCTCACTCGGCGCGATTCAGAACCTGGGAAGGAAGAAAAACTGAGTCTAGCGTTGAATGGAGTCGGGGGAGAAGCGGAGAAGAGGGCTTAAGGGTGGATATTAGGATGAATTGAATTGAATTGGAATAAATAAGGCTCTCCATAATACAATTAACACCCACACCATGGAGTCGCTGGCAAACGGAGAATAGAGAGGGAGAGGAGAGAGATACTGGAGAAAGGTTCTCGGAAATGAGAATGGAGACGTTTGAGAATGAGAATGAGATTTTTATTTTTATATTTAAAAAAAAAAATTTAAATCTGGAGGGAGGGGGGCACGTGCCCACTTAGGCCACCCCCCAGGTCCGCCCATGGTTGTTTATGAATAGAGTTATAGATTTTTCGTATTTTTTTTTAGTTGTTAAATGTTCCTATTTGTGATGACATGTTCTTGGAGTATAATTGCCTTCGAACAATCTTAAGATACTTACACCTACTGATTTTAACATGGTGATCAACAAGATCAAAATAATAATTCTAGTTTACGGACTTCACGATGCATCCTTAAGACAAATTTGCTCATTTCTGTAGTGCTTTAAAGTGTTCAGTAATCGTCTCATAGAATAGAACAAATTTCATCTCCTACAGATGTTGCACAACAATCTACTGATGTTCCAACGAACTCAATCAAGCATTTTATACTTCGAAGAACAGTATCAAAACATGAGAGGGAAATGAGATTCAATGTAGAGAATGTTTGCAATGAAAATGATTTAAATTTCCCGGTAGCAGGGCGGGCTATGTATAGATATATTCATGGCCATTCGGAAACTCTTCAAACCTTTTCAAAACAACCATTACTATTCAGACAACCATCCAAAAATGAACAGCTAACTCTGTTCGAATTGAAACATTGTTACGCTAAGTCAGTTAATAAACATCTGTTATTAATTTAATTAAGTATCCAAGAATTTGATTAATTGTAAATTTTGTCCAAAAATATATATAGAACAAGGACCCACCCACACATGAACTCAAAGGATGGCGGCAGCGTGCGCATGGACGAGGACCAAATCTAATGGGATATAGGTCTCTCTCATACAAAGGCTATTGGTACCCCTTAAAGCCAAACCTAATTGCCAAACTTCCATTATATAAAATGACACAAAAGTTTCCTGACTTTTTTTGGTGTGGGACAAAAACTTAGCAATTTTCATTTAAATCAAAATTTTCATTAGTTTATAGTTTCAAGTGAGATACTCTGAAATCAAATATTTCATTCAAATCCTAAATGATTTTCGATAAGTAAATATATCATGTTAATCATCCGTGGAGTAGAACGTAAATATACTTGGTCCCGTTAAAGTTGGAGTACGGGTCTCACTGTAATTGGAGCTCAAGGTTGACCCATTTCACTAACTTAAAACCATTTCCAATAGTTCTCACTAATATTATGCAATTATTCGCTAATTATTGTCCCTAAAGATGAAGGATTCATCGACCAGTTATTTGGTGAATTTCATGTTACCAATATGATTCCCCTTGTTCATCTGCTATAATGGACAACATTCAAGGGACCCTTCAAGGTTATTTATTTTATCCAGTCATGTCACTCATATAAAAGTAAATTGTAATTATTTTAACGAGTCTTGCTACTTGTACAAAATTTTTTGTACATCAAGGTATCCACCCACTCACATAGGGGTGGGGCCCACTTGAAGAAAATATTTTTTATTCAAGTGGGTCTCACCCTCATGTGAGAGGCTGGAATGGATACCTTGATGTACACCAAATTATATACAAGTAGATAAACTCTTTCATAAAATGTGATTTATTGATTATAAATGATAAAATTGAGTTCCCTCTTGGGAAGTATTGCTAAAACTTGAAATTCAAGTACACAATCGGTACATTTACTTAATTGACCATTGACAACAAAAAACGAATTAAAATGCTGGAATAAGGCAGGCGGATACCTTGATGTAGAAAAAACTTATGTACAAGTAGATAAAATCTTCTTGTAACTGGGGCATCTTTTTTCGTTTTCGGTTCTTCAGGTGTCACAAAAAGTTGTGGCTGGCATTTTACCTTTTCGAAATTTCAATTGCTGCAACATTGGGTTTCTGCTTAAATTTTAGAGGGAAAATTTTTTGGACATGAACACTCTTTGGCGCAACTTTACAGACGATAATGCTCACCTTAATAACAAGTTGCACAAACTGGGAAAAACAGATCTTCTCTTCATTTTCTTTTTGCCCTTTTTTGCAAAAATCGTGAAACAATACATCTTCAATTCGAAAACTTCGATTTCTTTCTTCTTTTGTAAATGGAATCTAATTCTGTTTGGGTAAATTAGGCCCACTACTTCATTAAAATAACAAAATTGAATAGTAAACTTATGAAGTAATTCAACCATTTAACACCGTAATTAATACGTCCTAAAAGCCTAAATGTTATAACTCACCCACTCAACCGCACTTACTCTCCTCCTCTAACTCCCTTCTTCCCAATTTTCTTGAAGCATTTTCTGCAAAAATAAAGAAAAATATTGAAATTTTACAAACAAGGCAATAGTCATGGCTACAGCAGGGCCAATGTTAGTAAAATGGCTACAACAGGGCCAATGTTAGCAAAATTCCTTTCAATGAAGAGTTCAAGAATGAATTCAGAGCTAGGGTTCATTACATCCCAGTTGAATGGCATCAAAATTTCAGCAACCCAATTCTGATCTTTAGTAGCGAAGAGCATCACTGTGAAAATTCCTCTGACGCCATCTTGGCCGCCAGATTCCCCGACTTATTCTTCAACACCATTTCCAGATACGAAAGTGTTTTACCCGATATTATGTTGCGCATTCCATTGCTGTCCATGTTGAGAATACAGATTTTACCTCTCTCGTATTTTAAGGTCTGAACATCGTTGTTGTCAATCACAACGGTGTTTAGCTGTTCAATGAATGGGGAGATTTGTTTCTTGTGATCTTCGTAACCAAAGAGAAACTTTGTTTCCAAAATCAAAAAAAATCTTGTAGCTCAATTTGTCTCTATTAATATTGGACTCTTGCATTTTTGTTATAAGACTGTTATTGTTAATGCTATCCACACACGCCATTTCTCATGAAATTTGTATTCAAACTATCATCAATTTATGTATGCAAATCTCTATGTGTTTGTGGGTTGCATATTCAATAGTGGATTTTGTTGTTTTGAGTTTTTGTTTATATAAGTAAGTTAAAACTTATTAAATGATCTAAGAAGAAAATTGTGTGAATTATCATTCTGCTAGAGCAAGGTACTATAGTTTATATTTTCTTGTGCTCCTTTGATTGTACGTTGTTGTTCGGGGAAGGGAAGGTAGAAAGTTTACAATGACATTAAGACAATATTTTTTTTAGTTTAGTTCTTGAATCTTTTTATTTATTTATTTTTTTTTTTTATAACCGTGGATGTTTAGGTCAACTTACGCGCACCTCGACTAATATCACGGGGCCCTGAAGTTTACGATCGGTACTTACCTCAGTGGCTCTGAGGAAATTTGAACTGGTGACCATTGGGGAACAAATCCAACGCCTGACCAATTAACTAATCCCTCAAAATTTAGTTTTTGAATCTTTCAATCCCTTTTACTAGATTTTATTCATGTTTAGGTACCATGTTCGACATCGTCATTTCCATCTTAATTAAATAATAAATCATAATATTGGTGTGGAAAAGAAGATGTGAGTTAAAAGGTTAATGTTTTGCTTCTTCAAAAATGGCTGGTTTCTTGCTTGCAGATACAACAATTTTGATTTTTTTTTTTTTTTAATTATAATCATAGCTCTTCAAAGTAAAATAGCTCCAAATGAACGTAGTCTACCACCTAAATACTAAAGTTGAGTGTCAGTAAGTGATTTTTGTCACTTAAAAAAAGTGATTAAAAAAAAAAAGTAACAGTGGATTAACCTTTATAATCATAGAATGTGTCACTTTTTAATATGGCACTGTTACTTTTTTGAGTGTTTTCTCACTTTTTAAAATTTTGTCATTTTTTTTTTTTTTTGAAATTTTTGTCACTTATTTTAGATAGGGGTGGGCGCGGGTCGATTTGGTTCGATTTTTTTTGGTTCCAGATATTTTCGTGTATTTAGTAAATGGAAAAGTCGGTTCCAAATATAATTTTGGAACCGTTCGGATTCGTTTCGGTTCTGTTCGATTCCGTTCGGTTCCGTACTATAATTAAATTTTTTAACATTTAAAATAATATTACATAAATACACCTGAAAGTAGATACTAATATTAATAACAAAAAGTAGATATAAATACGAAGTTCAATCTTAACTTTTACAAATTAACGTAATCTAATTTAATAACATATAAATAATAAGTTGTCAAATACAAATACGAAAAAGTAAATATTACTAATAAAACTTCGATAATTCATATCAATAATTCATTTGCTTCAAACATTCAAGTCTACATAAAAATGAAATATAAATTAGAAGTAATAAAGATAAAATATTTTAAAGTATTGATAATACTAACCAACTATTTAATATAATAATCAGTTGTTTGACTTTCTATACTAACTATTAAGAGACTATACAAGAAAAAAATTAAAAGAACACAACTAACAAACATAAATAAACTCTAAATTGTTCAACTAATAAGATTTAATAAGAAAAAAATTATTAATTTATTTAAAAAAATAAAATAAATTGATTTATCCAATATAAAAAAAAAATCAGTTCTTATTCGATTTTTCGGTTCTGGGTCTAGAACCGAGAACCGAACCAAACCATTCGGGTCTCGATTCGGATACCCGTTCGGGTATTTCATTTAAAAAAAATTCGCTCGATTCGGTTCGGACATTTTGCCCAACCCTAATTTTAGAATTTGTCATTTTTATTGAATTTCTATCATTTTTAATGTTTATCGCTTTTTCTGTCATTTTTTTTATTGTTACTTTTTTTTTTTAATTTCTGTAATTTTTTGAGTGCAAACATTAATTTTTAATAAAAGTGACTTGTATGAATTGACACTTAGCCCCTATTTGTCTACCATTATTCCAAAAAATTATTTGTTACAGTAAGATTCTCCACCACACATTCACCCAATAAAATATTCTACACACAAACCAAAAAAATTACTTTAAATTTCAATCACACATTCTCCGAAAAATACTATTCATTATTCTATTTTGCTCTCAATAATGGGAGACACACACACCCTTAATTTTAAAAGGTGACATTGTATTTATTCAAAAAATTGTTTGTTCCAGTAAGATTCTCCACCACACATTCACTCAATAAAATATTTTACACACAAACCAATAAAATTACTTTATTTTTCAACTACACATTCTCCAAAAAATACTATTCATTATTCTATTTTTCTCTCAATAATGGGAGACAAACACACCCTTAATTTTAAAAGGTGACATTGTATATCACTTTTTAATAAAAGAGCGACACTTAACTTTACAAAGTATTTTTTACTTCCAAAATACTTTTCATTTGATTTTTTAAGTTGCCCGTTCAATTTTCACTCTGCACGTTTGGTCCAATCCCTGGCCCATTTAGTTTTTTAGGCCTAAAAAAATTTATTTATTTATTTAATTTTTATCTAAAACCATTTTTTTATGTGTAATTTTCTTCATTTATTAGGCTTGAAATTTTTTTTTAGTCCGATCTTGGATTCAGTCCTGGATCCACCCCCATGCAGGCAGCTAAGGCAAGGGAGAGATTGTTTGAGAAGTCTTCGGCTGATGAGATATTTATTTTAAGAGAACGAGAGAAGTCTACAAATGAGTTGCCTTTCTTTATCTTCATGCCTCATTTATGTTACTACCATTGCACTACAAATTCATCGGTAGGTATGACGTTCATGAAGTTTTTAAGTCATATTTCAAAAATTAATTGGTAAAAAAAATGGTGAGCTGTTCGTATTGGAGAAAGGAAAAACTAATCACTGGAGAACTATTCTGTCGTCTAATTTCATATTTTAGTGAAAACTATTTTGCTTTGAGTAAGAATCGGAAAAAAAAAAAAGAAAAAAGATACGTTGGAGTTGGTCGCTTAATGTGTCATTAATCGAAAATTTTATTGTGAAAAAATGGTATTGAAGCACTGTATTTTCCATTTATCTTAGTTCTCAATAGGAGCAGAGACGGATTTAGAGGGGGGCTAGGCCAGGTTGTAGCTCGGTCCAATCCTTGGCCCCTTTTTTTTTTGTGTGTGGAAATTACACCAAACTAGGTCTTAAGTTTGGCCATTTTAAAAATTAGGTTTTCACATTTTTTTTATCATTTTAATTAAATAATCAATCTTTTAAAACCCTAATTTATTTATCAATTCCTCACCTCCCCCTCACACATCGTCTGTCTCTCTCCATCGTTTCTCTGCCCCGCCGCCTCCTCCCCTTCCCCTTCCCCTTCCCTCCCTGCCGACAGCAGCGTCGCGACGCTACCGTTTGTAGCGTCGAGGTATTGCTGTGAATCGCAGCAGTGTCGAGGTCTCGACGCTGCTGTCGGCGTCATGACGCTGTGTGGCTGTGGCTGGCGGTGGAGATGTTGTGGGTCTTCGATGCGATGGTGTGTGCGGTGGAGGTCTTTGCCCGACAGAGAATGAACATCAGACTGCTTTTTGTGGTTGTGATTTTGCGGTAGTGATTTTGGTTTTTTTTTTTTTAGCGGTGTGGTGGCGTAGTAGTGGGTGTGTGGTGGAGGTGCCGTGGGTCTTCGATGCGGCGGTTTGTGGGGGGGGTGGAGGTCTTCGCCCGACAGAGAACGAACAGCAGACTGGGGGTCTTTGAGTTGTGGCGTGGTATAGATAGAGATGGTTGTCGAGGTGGTGGAGGTTGCGCGGTTGTTGCAGTGGTGGTGCATCGATTTTTTTGTTGTGAGTTTGCGGTGGTTTCTCTGTTGTGGTGTGGCGGATCTCTGTGTGTGTGGCTGTTGTTGGTGGTTGGTTGTCGTTGGTGTTATTGTTGGTTGTTGGTCGGCGGTCGGGGCGAAGGAGGTGGCGTCGGGTAGATGGGACGAAGAGTTTCTGTGACCAACTATTTGGTCGATTTGTGACCAAGTATTGGTGTCGACGACGTTGGGTGGATGGGACGAAGAGTTTCTGTGACCAACTATTTGGTCGATATGTGACTGGTGTTTTGGGGTTTGGGGGATGGGTGTTTGGGTGTATGTGACTAACTATATCGATTTGTGACCAAGTATTGGTGGTGTAGTGGGATTTGGGGACAGGTATTTGGGTGTATGTGACCAACTATATAGTTCTTTGTGGCTAACTATTTAACTGTGACTTTAAAATTTGTTATTCTGTGACTCAAAATATAATATGTGACCAACAAATTTTCTTAACTTGTGATCAATTAAAAATCTGTGACCTATAAATTTTTTCATTTATGATCTCGAAATAATCTGTGATCAAATTAATTTGATAAGTTGTGACCGAAAATTAAAGTTATAACTATTTAATAAGATATTTGTGACCTTGGAATCGGAGCAGTTACCGGAATTAAGTGGCGGCTAACAATCACTGGAATAGTCTCTGGAATTAAGCGTAGCGGAGAACAGCCGTTGGAGTAGTCGCCGGAACAATAGAGGTGGTGGAGGTGAGGTGAGGTGGGGTGGGGTGAGTTAATTATATTATATTATAGTTAAATATTTAATTTAATTTAATAATTGTAAAATATAATTAATTCATTCATGGAAAAATCCGATTTTTGCAATTCTAAAACTTGGAGCCTGATTTTTGATTTCATGATAGATAATATCTGATCCATGATTTTTTCCCCCTTTTTTTAGTGTGTAAATTAAGTTTTTTCTACATAATAGCCCGACTTGTAGTTTGGTCTTAGATCCATCCCTGAATAGGAATACATAGTCCACAGGCAAAACAGATGAACTCTAGTTGACTTTCATTTCTAAAATAGGCCGTTGAAAGTATTCGCGACAGAACCAAAGTATCTGTGTGCAAATTCGCGACAGAATCCAAAATAAGAGCAATCCGTCTGCTATAATCTTTTTTATTGGCAAGTCAATATTCTATGCACCATGTTCCTCAAGTCACATCCTTGAAAATTTAATGTGAAATTCATAGTACATATACAATAGAATAAATTATTAATTTATTATATTATATCTATTATAAATCTTTACATGAAAGTAAGCATTTTGTGCTTATAGCTACTCATTCAAACTCTCTGTGTCACACATCTTATTGTAAATGAGTCTTTGATTACAAGATTAACTTAAAAATTATAATTGAATCAGTATCATTTTCATTTATATTCTTAACAAACGAAAAACAGATAACAAATACGTTCCAGTTAAGTTTTTAGCAAAAATATGTTTTTTTTTTTGTTAACATATTATTGTGGAAAATTGATTTTATAAAATGATAAACGGTCAATTCTAACTATGTCATGCATGTCATTGAATACAGAAACACGTCATTATATGTTTTCGTTCCGTATAAAGTGACATATTTATGTAAACAAAAAACAAAATTTAATTTCATTTGATTGTGAGAAAGTGGTCTCACATTGAAAGATTTGGTAACGGCCATATTACTCAAATTTACTCTTATACCAAGAGATGAGAAACAAAAATACAATAAATATACAAAGTAAGAATGGAATTCATATATAAGAATAAACATAATTAAAATTGTATCGAAATTTTGTAACATAGTTCATTCAAATCAAATAACTTAGACAAGTATCTATTTATTGTTACCTCAAATTACATGACCAACACAATTCACAATCAATTATGAATAATCAAACAAGATAGATGATAAAGTCCACCTTAAACAATTCATATATAATATTAATGACACACTTGAGCACACATATTTAGAGGCTGTGAAGAGTTTCCGGCCACGAGCACGGCTGACGGGAGCACGGCTGACGGAAGTCATTGGATCGTGTCCACGATTGGCCGTGGCCCCACTATAGTCGGTTAGACTTACTCTTAGAGATCGACCTTCCATCTCAATCTCTTCCAACTCCCTTCCTATAATTAACATTTAAACAATAAGTACAAGTGATTGAATCGAACTCAACATAAAGATGTTATGGCAAAAGATGTTAATGTTGTGGAAGACAAACCTGAAAATGAAATGGCCTGTGTATTGGAAGCTGAAGACATTATGGCAAAGGCAAAGAACATAAAGCAGCAAAACCGAAGTACAATCGCCATTTCTGATCAAGAAAAAGCTGACTTATAATCTATATTTATAAGTGGAATTAACAGAGGTTTGAAATGAAGGGTGGGAGCCATGTTTGGCCCGTGAAATATGGGTCAACGGCGTACTATACTCAAAAAGGAAACAATATGACTTGGAAAGGAACCATACATGGTTGGGCACTTGGGCTATCAAGCATATAAAGGATTATGTGATAAGCTACTTATTATTCGATTTTAATTAGGACAACTTACACAAATACCCTTAAAATTAAGGGTCTTTTGAAAAATCATATGAAAAATTTTTTGGAAGTAAAAAATACTGTATAATATTAAAAAGTGACACAATGCCATTTTTTTTTTTAAATTGTCACTTTTTAATAATAAAAAAAAAGTTACACAATGCCACTTTTAAAAGTTAAGTGTCACTTTTTTTAATTAAAAAATGACATTAATTGTCACTTTTATTAAAAAATGATATTTGTCAATAAAAAAAGTGATAGAAATGAAGAAGGTGATTAAAAAAAGTGAAAGCATAAAACAAAAGTGACAAAAATTAAAATACAAAAATTCAAAAAAGTGATAAATTAAAAGAAGTTACACAAATTAAAAAAGTGATAGACAATAAAAAAAGTGACAAAAATTAAAAAAAGTGACACATTATTTAGAAAAGTGGGGAGAGATCAAGGCCTCTCGAATGTCTTGGAATTGTCGTTTCTATTCTTTATAATTGCAGTGAAATGAACAGTACAAATCATTGTTTTTGCATTCATCATTCACAACTACATTCATATAACAAATACCAGTCACCGCGCTCTTGTTTTAATTCAATCCTAAGGAGCCTTGTCTAACTCTTCCCTGTTGGCTGAGGAGTTCCATTCCAGTAGCAGCAACCGCAGTCAGAAGCTTGAACATCACCAGCAACGTCCAGCATCTAAATCAGAGCAGGAAACCACCACAGCAGCATCAGAAAATTAGTCCCCAATCGCAGATTCAACAACAGCAATAAAAATCTTATCAATTACTACCACAATACATAGTTTGAATATTATAGACTCTATCAACCTTGTCAGCACACAATAACTCTACTACTCAAGGGCTTTTGCAGTATTGCTTCGCTTTGCAGCTCCAGCTTTAGTCCATGAATGACACATTCATTCACAAAATCGACATTGGAACTAATGCCACGAACAAGTGTTTCTGACCCTCCCTTTGCATCAACCAAATTCAGAGCAATGCTGACTTACAATCAAATTCGAATGAAGGCAGATGAGGGTATGAGATCGACGGCTGGCTTTAAGGTTGGGACCCGAATGAGGACTGTAGAGTCCTAAAATCGCCCGAAATTGGTAGACAGAAATCATTGATTTAGGGTTTGTTGGGGTTGAATTGTAAATCTGGGGCTATGAATCATACCAGTGCTTCTTTCTGGGCACATATCCTGTTTCAATTGCCCATTTTCAAGAAAATATACAAAAAAGAAAGGAGGGGAAATCACCTTTAAGCTTTATTATGAGATTTTATAATAATAGAAAGGACGATTAAGGTGAGCGATGCTTGTAGTGAATCAAGTGCAAGGAGATGGGGTTTTGAGCGTATTTATTATGGGGAGAAAGGACATTAATTAGTTTTAGTGTATTATTCTAATTTGTTATTTTTTAAGAGTAATGGGCATAATTATCCCTTTAATTATAATAAATAACATATACGACCCATTTGACCGGGCTTTTACTTCTTGTAAAAAAAGCTAAAGCTACTTTATATCTTTCTTTCTTTCTTTTTTTTTAACTAAAAGCTCTTTTAGTCACGCAGATCACTTCCAAAAAATTATACAGATATTCAAAAATAATTTCTTAATTTCAAAATTAGCCTTTGATTTTTCAAAAGTCTTGTTAAACATGCTCAATAATATGTGCCTTGAGAATAAATCGTATGTACATAATAGTGAGCAAGGAAATATTGTGTCATACATAACTCGAATGGCACCTAGATAAAATTGATCATTTTGCATTATAGATTGGTTAGGTAGACAAAATTGATCATTTTACATTGAATTATGCTAAGTGTAAGTGTACATTTTTGTTGACATTGTGTAGGAATTCAAAAAGTGTTGGACGGAAAATTCGGTGTTTTTTTAAAACTGTTTAATTATGTGCCGACACACGGTACAATATAAAAAAATGATGTCAAATAAAATGTACATGTAGCATGATTATTTTACATTGAATTGGTACAAATGTCCTTAAAAACTACAAAAGTAATGTTATAAACAAGTTTTTTGTTGTTTATTTGTACAAATGAGTCGTATTGAATCGTAAATTTGTTGGATGATACTATAATGTTAAAAATTGATATAATATAAGATTTGTATTCTTTTTTGATAAAGATTTGTAAAATTGACGTCAATTAATCAATTCTTTCATTAATAAAGTGATAAGTTTGATTTTAAACAGGTAAATATTTCTATTTCTAGAACTTGCTTTTAGGTGCAAGATGAATATAACATCATTAAATACAATATGGTTAAAAAAAAATGTTGTCCTAAAGCAATATAGTTGGTTTGGACAAATTAAGTTACTCTATAAAACATAAAAAATTATATTCACAAATAATTTTTTTCCCCATTATTGAAGATTTAAAATATGTCAAGTAATAAGATGAGTGCAAGAAAATATTGCGTGTTGTGAGAATATTAAAATATAACAGGTAATGGAATAAAATATAATAGTTCGACTTGAGATCTACAATTCAAAGTGTCATTTGTTTTTGACATATTAAATTTTCTGTTAATGCTTTAGTTTGATTGTCGGAGCGCGTTTGCACTTGACTAATAAGATAGAACGGACTTTGTGTCATTTAATATATAATAAAAAATATATTAAAGATTAATTGACTCTTATATATATACTAGTTAGTTGCCCGTGCAATGCACGGGCAGTGTAATTTTGAAGGTAATGCTAGTGTTGAAAACTGGACGTGTGCTGGTTCTGAAGCCGAAGCACAATATGTGACTATGTTAATTGCGTGATTAAGATCGAACTGAAAAGGAAAACGAAAAAGATAAAGGCCACACCCATCAACATGAAGCAGTTAGATAATTCAAAATCATATAAACTGCAAGCAATAAAACAGCAAATGCATTTCATGAATATGAACCAAAATCCTTGTGTTGTTTTTTACGCGAGGGTTCTTGCGACTATTGCGCCGACACACATAATAAATCCAAATAAATGGAAAGCTGGCTCTCATGCATCTCCCAATGCCTTCATGCCAACCAAATTCTCCGTATGGGAAAAGTAATGGATACTGCAAAGGATCATAGCAACCGTAATAATAATGAACTCTATGTGCATCATCAGAATGGCCATATATAATAATATCACAAATGCGAACATTAGCATTCGCATCATCTTCCACCCATATAGCAGCTACTTGAGATACTGTAGGAATGTTAAAGACGCGTCGATCAAGTCCTGGATCGCATCTTATGTGTATTTCATGTTCTTCTAAGTTAGGTATATTAGTTAGAGACCTAAAAAATCTACTATATGGATTTACTTTCAAAATTTCATTCAAAATTTCAATTAAGACAAGTAAGGTATGTTGAACAAAGTGTTCTGAAGTTTCGATACGATTTTTAAGTTCGTTATCTGTGTCATAGAAATATAACTGCATATAAGAGGGCTTATTGTCTTGTGGGATAAGTTTATTTACGTAATGATATATTTGCCCTTGAACTCGAAATGTGTAAATACCTTTGTATGATTTGAAGAGATTTTTGTCATATTTAACGCCAAATGAAGTAAAAGCAAAATTGTTATTATATCCTCTTAC